TTAATAAATATTAAAAACAATAATGGACCTAGATTTGAACCTTGAGGTACCCCAGACGTGGCCCGATAGTAACTCGACCTATGACCACCATATTCGACAAATAACCTTCTATCCCTCAAATATGAATTCATGAGCGACAGCATTGCATCAGACATACCCACTGTTTTAAGCTTATCCAGAAGTGCATAATGATCAACTTGACCAAAGGCTTCTGAATATCTGTGTAGATGACATCAACTTGTCCCTGACCGTCCAGTACTTCAGAAATGTATTGAGTAATTAGAGCAAAGTTGGTGACCGTAGATCTGCCTCTCATAAACCCATGCTGATTAATAGAGACTGCACCCCTGACCGAGCAGTAAACCGTTTCATAAGCGATGATCTCAAACAACTTGCTGAAATTGCACAGGATTGCTATTTGGCGATAGTTGGAAATATCAGAGATATCTCCACTTTTGTGAATAGGACATATTTTAGAGGTCTTCCAGATATTTGGATATGTCTCTGATTTTAGAATTAGGTTGAATATGGAAGCCAGCGGTTTCGCTAGTATATGAATGCAATCTTTAACGAAAAAACTTGGAATACCATCACATCCAGACGTCATTTTGTTCTTTAATCTTTTCGAAGCCCTAATTACGTTTTCTTCACTTATATTTTTTAAAGAAATGATATCGGTAGAATTATTTGTTGGAGGAGATGACCCTAGTACACCAGACGGGATAAAAACTGTTGAAAAGAAGGTAGCAAAACTGTCCACTATATCCTGAGGCGTATCGCAGACATTGCCGTTAAGCGTCATCCTGGGGGGGATTCTAGATTGCTGTTTTTTGATATGGGCAAATGACCAGAATTTGCTAGGATCATTGACAATGGCATCCTCAGCCGATTGGACGTAAGCGGAGTAGGCAACACTGATTTGGTTCTTAATGAGCTTCCTAAAATTACTGAACTGATCATAAGAAAACTTAGTACCGTCACGTTTCCAGTTCCTTCTTGCTATGTCCTTCTTCTTGATATTAAGTATAATTTCACGTGTGAACCATGGGGGATACGAAAACATTTTATTTTTACATTTAGGGACATGGACCTCAAAGATGTTATTGATAACTGAATACAAGGCGGTACAAGCGACATCAACATTAACTGCACTGATCACCTCCGTCCAATTAACATCTTGCAAAGCTGTGTACATTTCAGGAAAGTTAGCTTTGCGAAAGTTAAACCGTGGAGAATTAGCAAATGGGAATTTCGTTGGAGATCCGGAATGTAATGAATTCCATGATCAGTGCAGGATGATGAACGTCCTCTTTAACAGAAGGTGTATTATCTCTGAGGACTTCTATTTCGATATTTCCTAAAATTAAATCCAGAATTCGACCATTTATATTTGGAATATTATTAAAGTTAGTTAAATCTAAAAACGAAATAAAGTTGCTCATTAATTGAGACTTCTGATCATTAACGTCACTGTTGAATGATGCGACATTAAAGTCACCAGCAACAATTATTTTACAATTACTGA